GGCAAAAAATAGCATTGTACAAAAAGTTCTATAAATGAGACAAAGAAAGTGCATGAAACATTCTTAAAGGATTGACACAAGATATATATATATTATGATGGAAACACTAGTAAGTTTGGTGAAGAAATTTATAAGTGCATGGACCAATATGTAGAACTATAAATAGCATGCATACATCATCTTTGGGTGTAGAAATAATATGGAGTAGTGTTCTACCGAAGTTATTGGATAGTGAGCTAAGAGCTCCCACAAAATTGGGAAGTACTGTAGTACTCAATAAAGGGGAGGATCTTCATTCTAGGGCTCATGAGGGCTCCACCTCAAGTAGTTTATGAAGGGAAGTGATCATAGAATTTTTTAAAAAATTATTATCTTAAATATTGATATACAATATGTCACGATGATTAAATATTTATTTGTATTTCTTAATTATAGCTTGAAGGTTTAAATCATGCCCCCATAAATGCTCATCTTAAGTACATGTGTAGGAGTGGAGTAAGTTTTCCACCAGAATGTTGAGTACAATTTGTAATGTAATCAAGTATTTGTATGTAATTTATGGAATTTTTACTTTGTTTTAATTTACTCCGCATTATATTTGGTCCTATCAAACATCCATGTACATCCATATTTTATCATAACTCAAAAGTACAAATTAACTAGTTTGAGTAGCCCTTTTCAGCAATAATGAACTTAATAATTAAATGAGATGATCCAACCTCCAATCCAATAGTGAGAAGAGCTCCTTTGTTTTGCTTGCCACTTATCATCTCTAACATCCCTTCTCAATGTAGAACTCATGTTGTCTAAAAATGTTGTCAAACTCCAATTGATGCATTTTCTTTTTAACTTTACTTCAAGTGCATATCTTTATTCTTTAAGGTTTAAACTAAAATGATTTATAATTTTTGCTATAACATGCTATCTACTTATCCTCTATAAAATATCAAACAAGAATCAACTTTTCAATTGAATACCTTTACAAAAATATCTTGATATTCCTTACACTACCAAGTTTAAAAGTCTTTTCACCTTAAAATTTAAATAAAGGATAATTAATGATGCTATATTGTTTATTTAATAGATCTTCTATGCAACACGAACGTTTATATATACACTTTGTTGCGGAATTTATAACATACAATAGTTTAAAAAGGTCATCATTAGAAATAGGTAAGAGTAAGACTAACAAAGAGGCAAAAGGTAGGTACGTGCACAATTTTACACTCACGTCCAAGATCCGTTTGTATGATCACTTAAAGCTCTCAATGAAAATAAAGTAAACAAAGTCTCCTAATTCTCCAAATGAACAAATGAGCCGAACACTTAGAGGCTTGGAGCACTCACATCAATGAGCATTTTTTTGCTCATGAGCAAAATTAATGAGCAAAAATAGTAGAAATGTTACTACATCAATGAGAAAAATAGAATGTGCTCATGAGCAAGTTAGAATTTGCTCATAGGATGAGCAAAATTGAAGATGAACAGTAAATACGTGGGCCCTAGCATTCATCCAATTGTTGAGCAAAAATGGTAGAATTGTTACTATATCAATGAACAAAATAAAATATGCTCATGAGCAAAATAGAATTTGCTCATAGGATGAGCAAAATTGAAGATGAACAGTAAATACGTGGGCCCTAACATTCATCTAAAAATGATGAGCAAAAATGATAGAAATGTTACTGCATCAATGTGCAAAATAAAATATGCTCATGAGCAATTCAATTATTTTTTTATCACTAGTGGGATAAAATTTTCTCACCAAAGATGCTCATTAGCAAATTTGGTTGGGAAGAGAAAGAAAGTGGCTAGAGAAAGAATGAACAATTTTTTTTTTTGCTCACTGATGTGAGTGCTCTTAGGTATATAATATAAGTAACCATATGAAAAAAATAAAATAAAAAAACAGCTTAAACACCCGAGTATATAGTAGGGTCTGTTATGATTTACTGAACTGAGTTGAGCTGAACTAAACTGAACTTATTAGAGCTGAATTGAACTGAACTTATTATTATTATCATCGTTTTTGTAATATATGCTAAAAAGTATGATATTTGGTTTAAATTATCATTAGTAATATCATTAGACTTAAAATATAAATTGAACTGAACGGAACTTATTAAATCTGAATTGAACTAAACTGATTAGAGCTGAATTAAGCTGAACGCCGAAGAAAACAAGCTCTTAGACTAGGGCTGTGCACGGTGCGGTTTGGTGCAGTTTGGATCTCAAACCGCACCAAACCGCAAAATTGCGGTTTGTGATTTTTTCAAACCGCACCAAACCGCAATTCTATACAAACCGCACCAAACCGCATAGCAAAATACGGTTTGGTGCGATGCAGTTTGCGGTTTTTCCATAATTTTTTTACCTCACAAATAATGATTATTTGCTAATCTTTTGTTATGAAATTTTTACTTGGAAATTGTACAACTATGCAAATAATTCAATAAAGAAGTAGTGCTTTACTTCAATGTTAATAGTGACCCTGTAACATGCCAAGGCAAACATGGAGCAAAATCATTAAGTAAACCACAATTACTCCATTACAACTCCAAAGCACAAGAAACGGAGAGTAATAAGAAAGGAAAACTTTGGTTTTCTTAATAATGACCCACACAATTCAGTACATATAAATACAATATAAGAGTCTTCTTTCCATATAAGAGTCTTTGCATTAAATTGCGGTTTGCGGTGCAGTTTGATTTGAAATTTTTTTGAAACCGCACCAAACCGCAAAACCGCGATTTGGTCAAATTTGAAAACCGCACCGTAATTTCCAAACCGCAAATCACACCAAACCGCAAAATTGCGGTTTGATTTGCGGTTTGGTGCGGTCTAGACCGTACTCTGCACAGCCCTATCTTAGACAATTAAAAGATATCTTGAAATTGCAAGTAAGGACTTTTCAGGGCAGCCGTGATAGTGTTCACGTGAAGACCCATTTCTGTTGGTTCGGACCCACAATTATTGAAGGACCCCAGCCACTATTTGCAAGTCCAGAAAACAACAGCTACAAATTAAAACCAACAACTTATTATTACTACTACTCGTATCATTTATCATTATTATTATTATTATTATTATTATTATTATTATTATTATTATTATTTTATTAAAACTATTAGAATTCAAATTGAAATTCAGTTGGATAAGGATTAAGGATTTTCTCCATATCCACACTTCTGGGAGTTGAAATCTTGATCAACAGCCAATCACAATGCAGTACCCCACTTGAACAAGTCTTTTTCTTCTTTTCTTTACCTTTTTCATTTCTTTTTGTTTGTGTTCTAAAATAGAGGATGTCAACTTCTGACAGTTAATAATTGATCATACTACCTCCGTTACATATTATTTGTAACGATTTGATATAAAGTAGAGAGGAAAAATATCTAATCGTTGCACATAATATGTAACGGAGGTAGTATATACATACTCCTCCTACATATAGTATAATTTTTTATTTATTTATATATTTTTTTTAAAAATGAACAATATAAAATTTAAACTTCTAACTACAATTATACTAATTGATAATTGAATCTAGAGTGTATTATATAAGCCAATCTAAAATACAAATTTATGTAAATGTCCTAATAGGTAGGAAGGCGATAATATTGATTTACCGAAATTATGATCTTTTTTTAAAAATAAAAAGTTTAGATTATGGGACTCTACCAAATTGTCATGGATGAAATAAGTTAATAAGTGTGTGTGAATATTGTTTAAGAGTTTAAGAAAAGGAGGTCATTAGCAAATAAATGAAATAGTATTACAGTTCTAATTTTCACATTTATGTATTACAAAGTATGAGTATATGATTTCTAATCTCTTATAACTCAACGCATGGCATCATCTACATGATAATGACATCAACCCAAACGGACATACTATCTCAAAAATGATGTATGATGACAAATGCTTGGACTGGCCCACCAATATCTAACTTTTAATTTTTTTCTTAAAAACACGCTTTATTGAGTCTCAAAACCTCACACCTCTTATCGAATAATTGTTCTAGTAATCAAGGCAAAACGAACTTGCCGACTTCACCATAGCAAATCAAATAATAATGTGATTAATATGCAAAAAAACACGGTAACAAAAAAGGCAAATATATAAAGCAAGCATGCCCCATTCTTTTGACCATTTAATTAATCTCTTCACACCCACCCCGACTCTATTCTAGTTTCTCCCCATAACCACCACCACCACAACCACCACTACTCCACTAGTCCACTACTTAGCCTTCACAAGCCTACAAAGCTCGACGATGGTTGTGAATGACCACCATCACCACCCGGTTTCCCTTCACCACCTCTCGACGACTACATCTCTCCTCCACTTCACCAACCACCATATCCCCACACCAATTAGCATCACGTTGAAAATACAAAAAATCTTGAAACCATGCACCGTACAATTTAGTACTCAAGTAGTTTTAGCCTAATATTTTCATTCCATGTACACCTATAAAATTATCATAACACATAAAGTGGGGCTCAATAAAAACATCGACCCACTTCTCAACTTGTTCAATATTTTTTATCACTTAGTTGCTTAAGAATAAGAAGGTTCTATAGAAGGTTCTACACTTAATACTCTAAAACAATATACTTCGTATTAAAAAAAAACAGATGAAATTATAAACTATTATCAGAATCATATGATTTTAATTCTCTGCTTAATTAGTACGTGCATGGTAGGGTACGTGTTTCATATTTATCTAATTCTATAAAATTTAAGTTAATCACAAAGAATTATGAGATTTATTATATATAATCCTCAAATAAAGCACTTATAATAGTGATAAAATCATAAGAATAGATATATGGAGCGTTAATCTTGTTGTGATTTCTTAATTTTTAATATAAATAAATAATATACAATAAGCTTGCATGGATTCGAAGAGAAATGCAAGGAGCTAGCTAGTATAACAAACCAAAACAATTGAAACATCTATCTATAAGAAGGAAATAACAATCTTACAAGAAATCTTACATCCGAGAAGATTGAATGTAATGTGATCTTACTTTGAAATTAGATCGATATATATTGAATAACCGAGAAATACATAAATAAGGTGATGATATATATAGTTAAGTGTACCTCCATAGTACACATCAATTTCTAGCTTCATTGGATGAAATGAAAATTTTGCAAACATGAAAAATACTTTATCACTCATGAAGATAACCTTAAACACTCCTTAAAAGGGACACAAAAAAATGCGCAAAATCAAACAAGCAATGCTTATGTATACTTACATGCAAGCACAAACCCTAACTAATTGTGTAGAGATGATAAGTAGGTAGCTTTGATTGATGGTAGTCCATGTAGATATATAGGATCTACATGTCGCGAACCTGGAAGATATTAGGGTTCTTAACAACAATGTCGTACATGTAGACCGAGCTAAACTTGGAGAACTCCCTAGGAAGTGATATCAAATCGATAGAAGATCTCTTATGGAATTGATAGAGATCAGGATCACCTCCAAAGTAATGCTCCCACCCTAGATCTTTAAGAATTGGTTCAAGGGTTTGGTACGATGAAATCACTCTTCCGGTAGGAAGATGTACGAGCACCTTCCTCCTTGGTCTTGCCTGATCACTTCCACCCTGGTCGGCCTGAGGGTTCTCCACCAAACGAATCACACCATTGTTCTTGAACACCCACACTCCTGACATCTTTAAGTTTTGTTGATTTTTCTTTACTAGACTGAGTGTTAGGGTATTAAAAAGGATTGGTTTGTGTTGTTTGTTTTTTTTCTCGAGATGTATAAAAGCTAAACAAATGTTTAGAGGTGGATGGATGAGTGAATGGGGAGGTATGGGAAGAGGTATATATATAGCTAGGGGGGCATGGGGTGAAGATAAAACAAGGGGGGAATACTCTTACAATACATCCATCAATTATCAAATTATCATTACCTTTAGCATAAGAATCTAGATGAAAAGGGTCCCACTACCATGGGTGTTCTTAATTTTGATTGGGGGGGGGGGGGTACAAGAAGATGCCTTGTGGTGTGATTTAGGGCACACGTGGGTATAGTTTAGGAGGAATTTTGATGCTTATGTTCATATAAAATAGAAGAATCTAGGGAACCAAGAACAAGTAAAAAGGAAGAGTCTAGCCTACATACAACACTAGATATCAAAAGGAAAATTAATCCAATGGCAAAAAAAGGTAGTGCCCACTTTGATCACGCAAAGCCCATGTGAATAAGGTGTATGGGGGATGGTAACACTATATTATTGGTCCATAGCAGGTAATTAACATGTTGTGTACTTTAGATACTATGATTTTATGGTTTATAATTGCTTTGATCTAGAGAATTTGTATAGAGGACAAGAGCTAATGATAAATTGATATGTATATTGGGTCATGTCATGTTAATAATTTGTTTGGTGTTCATAATTATATGTCACAAAAGTTTTGATATGTCTTTTATATACAGTTATATATGTTATATGATTGTGAAAAGGGATAAATTTAGTGCCCATCATTTGATGGTCCTACATGAAAAAAGGTAAGTGTCCATGCAAGTTTGAGTTGGAGCATAGAGAAAGGTCATATCAATGTACTCATCATCATATGATGAAAGAAAGAAGTTCATATGGGCAAAGGAGATTTTTGTTCCACACACATTATCAAGTTCAAACTAGACATTAGAGGTGACAAGCGGACCATTTATCTTTTGACTGAATATGGATTTTATAAAGGTGATCTTATAACTTGGGTGCATAATATTTATTACCTCCGTTTTACATATTATTTGCAACGATTTGATGTAAAGTAGAGAGGGAAAATGTCCAATCATTGCAAATAATATGTAACGGAAGTAGTATATATATTCAAACTTTTGCAGATTCATTAATGATAAAAAATTTTAAGCACAATATGTATATACAGTGGTATAACGTAAGCTAATTTTATGATTTGGTGTCCACATTAAGCATGACCAATCCGATTGCTAATTCAAATAAAATTTTTTGGTAGGTAAGAAAAGGGTACTTGATCTATGGGAACAAGAATGACCATACACAAACCATTCTGACCTGTGTTACTAGCAAGGCATATAGGTGGGGGAAAAGAAATCTCCATTTCTAAAGTGCTCTTCGTAGAGACTAATCTTCCGATTTCAAAGTTGTGAGATACAATCATATAAATCAATTAATGTTTGGTACAAGCTGATTTACTTATGATTGGTAGTATTTACTATTAAGAACTTGTGACGTATAGATGATGTTATATTAGTGCCATACAAATACAAATCAATCATTTTCATATAAATTAAAATGTCTTTTATAGAGACATGGGCCAAACTACTTGGAATGATGAGGTGGAGGAGTCATCTCAATTAAATTAATAAGAACTGTATATTAGATTAGATATAATTAAAATTGTATCATATAGACAAATCATGTCTTACATATTAGTAACCAATTCGTACAAAAATGATAAATCAATTAAATTTATTTTGTTGCAAACAAATGAAATGATAAATCAATGTCCTACTACACATGCACATTAAGCCTATTAGAGAATGTACTATCTACTTTATGTGAAAAATAAAGAAAAATGGACTGACCACACCAAATAATTAAGCTTTAATGAACTTCCAACATCATGCTAACTTATGTCATGGAAATAAGCATTACCACCACATGAAACTCACATGGCCTCCTTGGTCCTACATCTCAACAAGCCGCTTTGTCTAGTCAAAACCATTGCCATCAACTCATCAAGGATATATCCTTCTTTTAAAGAAAAAAAAAACATAGATATATCCTCTTTTAACATCAAATGTATATACTACTTATTTGCTAAGAGTTGGGTATGAGTCCAGTGGCGGAGCCAGGATTTTCAACTTGGGGGACAAAATGCTTAACTTACGAAAAGCTTAACAAAAAAAAAAAAACTCACACACAAATTGGTTAATACTTAATATTAAATTTTCAAAATACAAATATATACTTAGTCATACAATTCAAAATGATGAAAAAAATTACATAAACATTACATTAAAATTACAAGTTCATTCTTCGAGTCTTCATACTTTGAAATCGATCAATAATCTTTTCGTCGGAAACTTGTAAGAAGACATCCTTCTCAATAAAAGTGACCAAACAATCATTCATAAGTTGATCACCCATGCTATTTCGCAACTTGTTTTTGACACATGTCATTGCAGAAAACACTCTTTCAACACTTGCCGTGGCAACGGGAAGAATCAACATCAACTTGATAAGCAAATGAATAAGAGGAAAAGTCTTATGCTTATTGGTTTTAACAAGCATCATAGAAAGAGAATTAAGGTCATTTAAACCTTGAAATCTTTCATCATTTAGCATATTCTCCATGAATACATCAAGTTGATATTCAAGAGCCATCAAATCAAAGCTTGAAAATTCTTCGGGATAAAAAGAGGCAAGTTTAAGTACCTTATCTTTATCAAAGGATGAGAAGTTATCTTTAGGACTTAAACAAGCCATACATAATAGTAACTCCATATTCCTCTCATTAAATCGTTCATCAAGTTCTTGAAGATGCAAATCAATTAGTCTTAAGAAAATTCCAACCCGAAAATGATGTTCATTTGTTGCTTCTTCAACAAAACGTCTTGATCTTCCATGAGGAACATAAAGAGAATCCATAGTGGGAATAACAACACCATGTTTAGTGCAAAATGAAGTTACCTTGTTTAAGAGAGTATCCCATCCTCGCTCCCTCATTTTTTGCAACACCGTTTTTGTATAAGTGACAAGTTCCATGGCATTTACAATATCTTGCTCCTTTCTTTGCAAAGCAACACACAAATCATTAGTGTATCCAAAAATAGTCAACATCAAGTGAGCAACAAAAATAAAGTCAAATGACTCTAATTGTCCTAAAACAATTTGAGCTTTGAACTTATCTTCCGATGCACCATGCTTCCCAATTTGTACAAGCACCTTAATAATTGTAGGAAATAAGAGGATGACATTTAAAAGTGACTTGTAATGAGAACTCCAACGAGTATCCCCGGGCCTACTCAAACCAAGTTCTTGATTTAAACCCGATCCACTCACAATATCCCCAACATCCAAGGCTCGAGCAACTTCTTGAGCTTGATCTTGACGAATCATTTCTCTTCTCTTGCAAGAAACTCCAACCACATTCAACAAATTTCCAAGTATCTCGAAAAGCCAACCACAACTATCATTCTTTTTAGCAACGACAACTAATGTTAGTTGAAGTTGATGAGAAAAACAATGTATATAGTAGGCACTTGGAGTATCATTCATAATCAAAGTCTTAAGGCCATTTATTTCACCCTTCATGTTGCTAGCTCCATCATACCCTTGCCCTCTTATCATAGATGGGCTCAATGAATGTTCAACAAGTAAAGACATGATTGCATCTTTAAGAGTTAAAGCGGTAGTATTAGCAACATGAACAATGCCTAAAAATCGCTCCATTACCTTTCCACTATCTCTATCAACAAAACGCAAAACAAGAGCTAGTTGTTCTTTTTGGGACACATCACTTGACTCATCGGCCAATATAGCAAAGTAATCATCACCAACTTCTTCTATTATGCACCTAGTTGTTTCTTTGGCACAACAGTTAATAATGTCCTTTTGAATAGGAGGGGAAGTCATTTGACAATTTTTAGGTGCATTTTCAAGAGTATGTATCCTTACTTCCTCAACCTTTTCTCCTAACCACTTCAAAAGCTCAAGGAAATTACCCCTATTATATGACTCCCCACTTTCATCATGTCCACGAAATGCCAAACCTTGCCCCAAAAGAAATCTTAAACAAGATAAAGATGCTTTCAAGCGGATAAAATATTCACTTTTAATCACATCACTTGCATTGTCAATCACATTCAAGATTGATTTCTTTTTTTCATCTCTTAAATTCACATATTTCTCATAAGCAAGATTATGAGCACTTTTAATTCCACCAACATGCTTCTCAAATCTTTCCGGTTTATTCCATGCCCTAAACCCTCCATCAACAAATGCATCACCCCCCGGTTTAATACCAACTTCATTCTTGAACAAGTAACATACAAAACAAAATGCAGCATCTTTTTCAATACTATATTCAAGCCAATCCCATTTGTTGAACCAATGAACACTAAAGCGACGCAAACCAGACACTTGTCTTGTAGGGAAGTCATGAGTTTTTGGTTGGCAAGGTTTTTTTAAGAATATAACCCCTCCTAACAGCATTTCGTTCATTTGCGGGGTAATCCATAATGTTTATTCTTTTTCCCGGATCATGAGGAAGAAGTTCAACATCATACACCAAATCTTCCTCTAATGGTACATTACTATTACTTGAACCACCCATTTCCATACTATTTTCTTGACTTTGAGGGGAGCTAAATGAAGGTGAGTTATTGGACTCATTTTCATTGGACTCATTTTCATTGAGTTTCGTTCTTTTAAACAAGAATTGTCGAAGATCGGGTTGTTTAGTTGCCTTTGATTTGTTTGAATTTGGTGAATCGTTTGACATTTCCTAATTAAATCGAAAATTATATATCAATTTCCACAAGACCACAATCCACATCATTACATAATAACAAAACCTAAGAGGCTAAGATTTTAAATTTCTAATTCAACTACACATTTCAATAATTTACAATAATTAATAAATTTAAATTCACATTTCACAAAAACAACCAAAAACTCTAACAGGGGAAACAATCAAACAAATATAAATCAATAATCATTTATCAATTCAAATTATTCAATAATCAATACCCACAAGGCCACAAATGACAAATTCACAATAAAAATATAAACAATTAAACATTTAAACAAGTAATAAAAATATGAAATTCAGAATTTCAGATTTACTGTAAATTTAAACAATTAAACATTTAAACAACAAAACAAGTAATCAATTATTCAATTAATCATACATTCATTGATTCATACCTCCATTGAAATGCATATGACGAACAGACGAAGTGTCGATCGAAGTCACGCTGTCACGCTGTCACGAAGACACGAAGTCACGATTCACGAAGGACGAAGGCTCAAGGGCTGAAGGGCGGCTGTTGAACCTCGTCACTGCTGCGAACTGCCGGCGAACGGTGGACGAACAGACGGCTAGGCGAACAGACGAAGTCACGAACACACGAAGTCACGAAGGAGGAAGGACGAAGGCTCAAGGGCGGCTGTTGAACCTCGTCACTGCTGCGAAGTGCGAACTGCCGGCGAACGGACGAAGACTGCCGGCGAACGGACGAAGGCGAGGGCGAATCGAAGAGAGAGAAATTGAAAATTGAAAAACTTAGGGTTTGGCTTTGGCTGGCTGGAAAATGTCGCAACGCAACAGGATTGTAATTGCTTTTTTTTTTTTTTTTTTTTTTTTAAATTTTTTTTTTTTTTTAATTTTTTTTTTTGAAAATGGGGGGACAAGTGTCCCCACTCGTCCCCTTCTAGCTCCGCCCCTGTATGAGTCGGATCGATCAGGCCCACATATCGTGCAATCGTGTATTATTTTTAAGCGGATAATATTTACAACGGTTTAAGAAAAAATAATATCATGTTAGACTGATATTCTATACATAGAGCCTATTTACATGAACCAGTCCATGTGCACGTCAGTGGGGTAGACTTTAATTTTAATTACTAATCTTTTCACGGGTTTTTTTTTTTTGTAAAATTATCAATTATTAACGGATTGACACATGAACTACCCCGTCATGCCTATGCTAGACTTGTGTCAAATTTTGAAAATAATATACATACAATGCATCACTTGCTTTAATTTGTTGGGTTTGGGGTGGGTTAGGACTTATTTTCATGCCAACACGATTGATTCCCAACATGACTAGTTAGTAGTTTAGTACCATTGCTATCATATAATCCCTTTTCTTCATATTAGTTGATTTATGTACACATTATTAATTTATTTTGAATATTTGATGCCAAGGCAATTAAATATGTTGTATAACAACTTTGAGCTGGCATAAATAATAAAATGTCAACTAAATTTAAACAAAGAAAGTAACTCATTAAAAAGGAGGCAATCTTAACAACAACAATAACAACATGACTAGTTAGTAGTTTAGTACCATTGTTCCCACACCGGACCACCAACAATTCAACATGCTAAAGCAATAGCAATCACCATCTCAATACAACTTTTGTATATGAAATACCTTTTTTAAAATGGAAAGTCAAAATTAAAATTGGTACTCCGTAAAATACAATACAACATGCTTAAATTTTACAAAATTTTCATGTGACTCAAATTATTAATTTAAGATATGTGTCATCCTTATTATTTTACCAATCATATAATTCTAGACGTATTAGGTTACTAATTTTTCTTCTTATACCTACAAAACAATTATAACAAGGACTAGCATATTTATTTACAAATTACAATGTTTCTCTTATACTCCGTATATATTTCTCTCTTATATATTTATACATCATAAAATTGCATAGAATAAAATTAAGGCAAAGCAAAAAAAAAAAAAAAAAAAAAAAAAAAAAAAAAAAAAAAAAAAAAGATTCTAATTCTTTAGTTAAGTACTCAGTATTTATATTTCAATATTTCAGCCACTAAAATGATGTACACACTTTAGACGACAAAATTAAAGGCATGTTTTTCTTCTTCTCATGCATCATTAATTATGTTTCTAGTCTAGGTTTCAGATTCTAATTAGCTTAGTAAGGAATTTTCTCAAGGCCAACTTTTGTAGGGTATTTTATTTTGTTAAGAAATATTACCTATGTTTCACAATGTTCTTAGCATTTTTTTTTTGACACCAAATTTTATTTTTCCATTATATGTAATTTATACATAAAGGAAATCACAAATTAATGATATACTCATATATGATTAAAGTTCCACATTGATAAAGGTGAAAAAGTAAAATGTTAAGAACGTTATTAAATAGATCAGAGGTAGTAGTATCAATTTGATCAATTACTTAAATATTTAAAACTCATAGTACGATTTGGATTGCGTTAATCCTTTAGTAAACATTGCATTAATCATTTAGTAAACATCGGGTAATCATTAATCCTTTAGTAAACATTGCATTAATCATTTTAATCATTTAGGGTCTGTTCTCATACGATTATTTTCATTTCATTTCACTTCAGCTCTAATAAGTTCAGTTCAGTTAGTTTAGTTCAGCTCTAATAAGTTTAGTTCTGTTCAGTTTCTAATTTACTTCTCTTAAAAAATATTCATTTCAGTTCAGTTTAACTAGCTCTAATAAGTTCAGTTAAGTTCAGTTCAACTTTAATAAGTTTAATTTAGTTCATCTCATTTCAATCAATGAAAACATGCCCTTGGTCTGAAAAACTCAAATACACATTAGATTCGCGAAATTAAACATTACAAAAAACTAAATAAGTCAAATATTCATAGGGGCCTAACTAATATATTCCCCACCCATAAATATTGCAATATGTGGTATGTCTTGTGACTGACCACAACGTATGTGCCACTTATAAATGAACAAAGTAACCCTTATAACATTGATCGAGTAACCCCTGTAATATTGACCAAGTATCCCCTGTAACACTGATCGAGTAATTCTATGACACTGACGATGTAATCCCTTTAACACTGACCAAGTAATAACACCTATTACACTAATAACGAAGTAATCCCTATAATGATCTGCCATACGGTGTGGCCAGCTACATATATAAAAGAATTTGTGTTTTGTTTTTCAACAAATCTTTAATCGTTAATATCTTTAATTATTATTAATAAATAACATCTAAAAATAATAGAAATTTTACATGTATATATCCAAACCGTTTAACAAAGTTCAATATCACATAATATGTTTTTACTTGCATATAAATCACAATAGTTGTTTAGAATGGAATATTTGTCTAGTTTAAAAACTCAACATTCACAATATTTATATTTATTTATTTTCATTGAATTTGATAGTTTAAATCTATATTATCTATATAGTTACTTTAATTAATTAAATCAATTTGTTCTCTCTTACATACCTATCACAATCAATACCAAACAAGCACAACCTTTATAGAAAGGTAGAAACACAAGTAAAAGAGATGGGGAATAAATGAATCATAGCTGTTATATCACTAAATCTTATATATACCTTTTTCAAAATAATCTCCATTAATAGTTTAATATGAAGTACTGATTAAGATTGAGAATGAACTTATAATACTTTAAGGAAAGATAAACAAAAGTTAGGAGAATAAACTTCTTATTAATTTATATAATAAAGATTTCTTCTTAACAATGCGTGCCGTAAGCAAAAAGAATTTATTCCTAAATATCAATTTCTTAGAAAATTAGGAATAAGGAAGGTGCCAAATAAAGGTCTATAACAAAGCTTATAAGATAATTGGTCTTTCATATACAAAATATGCTCTTAGGGAATTAGTTAACCTAATTAAGATTATGGAAATATTTAACCAAAAAGGGTTGTAATTTAGAGGCTATTTTAGCTAGCTTAGCTAGAAGCTAAGGAATTATAATTATATATGAATGTGATTCAACTTTCAAAGGTCGAAAAAATGATGGTGGTATACTGGTATTCATCTTTGTATGGAAGGAGCTACCCAAAGTTAGGTGACTTCATTTCCCACCAATAAGGGCATAAATTCCGTATGTAATCGACCAAAGTTTGATGTATGACAAATTCTCTCTCCAACAGCCTTATTTTAAAAATTTGTACGGTCAATTGGCTATAGTTTTGAACGTGTTAATTATCACTTACAAAGTGTTGAAATTTAACCCATTATAAACTCACCCGTGAGTGTCCTATGCTAAAGAAATAGGATATTAATTCATTTAATAAGATATCCATTTTTTCTTATAATTTAAAACTAAACAAAGTAACATTCAAAATTACACAATAAAAATACACTATATGGAGCATATATTATACATATAGTAAAAACTAAAAAGAGGATTTTACCCTTTGTTTACTATTTTGAGTAATGTAATATTGTACTCCCTCCGTCCCTGGAAGAACGACCCATTTGGCATAATTTTAGTCCCAAAAAGAATAACCCATTTGCATTAAAAAAAACCCACTAATTTGCAACAATATTTGTGCAAAATTAGCTTTCCCATATAAAAATTTGATTTTCCATTTAATTTTATTACTTTCTCTCTCTATTTTTTTATAAATTCCATGTAAATTTATGTTTCCAACATACTTTTACTTCTTTTTATTTAACTTTCTTAATAACCGTGTAAT